GCCTGTTTTGAAAGACAGGTCCGGTGTATCCTTGGTAGCCGTGGATATCCCATGATTCATTGCCAGTCTAAGCAAACTGACTGCTCAGTGCTCAGAGGAAAAAGGGAAATGGTGCAGAACATTGATAAATATTGTAAGTGCAGTTTAATATCATACAAGTACCGTATTTTCATGACTATAAGGCGCATATAAACATCTTTTTTTTCCCTCAAAATGTGCGGCGCGCTCTATAGTGTGTTGTTACTGCGGACGTTGTTGAGACCACCGTGAGAACGTTAAAGGGGGACGTGTGGGAGTGGATTGTGTATAAAAAAACAGGTATGTGCTTTATGCAGAACTCATGATGAAAGAGTGGATGAGGAAGTTGTATGTAAGGAGACCAGGTGTTTTTTTCCACGCATCACCATCGCTGTTAATCTGTGACTCCATGCGTGCCCATCTCACAGCCGATGTGAAAAACATGGTGAAACAAATGAACGCTGTGCTTGCTGTTATTCCGGGAGGTCTGACAAAGAAACTTCAGCCGCTCGACATTGGTGTGAACCGGCCGTTCAAAGTAATGCTACGTTCACGCTTCTGCTGCTTCATTTTTGCTGTTTGTACCAGTTAGTTCTGACGCGCGGCTGAAGCAGCTTTGCTGCCCTGGCTGCGTGGCGCAAAAGTGTGTCTGATGCGCGTTGGGTGGAGCTACTCTATCCTTTCTTTGTCTTGCAGCTATATTTGTTGTGATCAGTGGGAATAAAGTAGTTTTAATATGTTTTTAAGTGAGAAAGTCCAACTGAAATATTAATCATTGCTGTCAGTTCATCCAGATTGCAATCCCACCTTCCAATATTATTTCTGTCGGAGCCGCTCAGACCCCCACATACCGGCGGTGCGCTGTCAGTAGGTTTCCCATTCATCAGCAGCCTCTGGCCGGGTCGCCTCCTCAGATAGGTGACAGGTAATGTTTGGTTTATTGAAAGGTTTTTATCTGTCCCTGTGCAAATGGGTTTGGCTGACATGTAAGCTCAGATTCCGATATCTCTGCAGTGTGGGGACTATAAATCTGATATCTGTGAAGGTGGTACCGCTGCTGAAGCTCCTAAAAAATATAATTAGCACCGAGAACAGTAGTAAGAAGTTTGGCATCCATTTTTTCCCTGCTTTGTGTGGTTGCTAGGTGACAGAGTGTATGGGAGGTTAAAGCCGGAGAAGACTGGACCTGTTTGAGTCCATAGCCAAACTGGCCTCTACAAATAATGTATTCTGGGGACATTCTCACCCAGTCTGGGTCAATTTCTCAAATTGAACAACCCATAGCGATAACTTGATGGCTCGCCATCTCCCACCTCTGCTAAGCAGTGAAAAACTGTAAAAAAAACTCTGTTATCTATAATTGAAGGTGTTGAGGTCACAGGAACAAGAGTGGTTTGTATAAAGAGGGGAGATAAAGTTGCCACATGTGCAAAATAGATGGATTTTATGATTGTTAAATATAGGATTAAAGATACTGTATGACATTTTAAACTATCATTAGCCTCCTATGCTATTGATTAGTAGAGCTAGCATTACTAAAAGAGCAGACTCATCAGGCTGAAACTTTGAAAGGAGGAAATGCAGCTTCTCTGCTATGGTCAGTTCAACCTTAATGTTATTTGTGTCAGCTCATACATTCCATTACTCTCTTGAACCTTGAATGGCAGACAAGTCTTAACAGCTTCCTCTCTAAAAGCTTATAATATCTGCTTTTCATCTGATGTCATTTTAAAGACCTCAGTCAAGCTTGTTCTTTCATTGACAGCATCCACACAATGTACTTTCGTCTGTGCCGGCAGCGCACATCAAAGCACAGTGATTTCCTAATCAACAAGAAATTAGCCTCCAAGTTTATTGCTGTCCAAGAAAGCGGAAGAATTTCAATTCTGGTCACCCAGTTTTACTGGTACATTTTACTCCTTATCAAAGTGAAATCACTTAAATTATGGCTTGGGTGTGTTGTGCACAATGGGCAAATCTCACAAACACACAATCAGACCTATGTAGGAAGCATGATTTTACATTTTGGGAGGAATTCAAATAAAACTCATTCATCTAAAGGGGTGGTTGAAAGATCAATCCTGAAAAACCCTTGCTGGGATTCAAACCTATGACTTTCTTGCTGCATATCATCAGTGCCTTGAAGCAAGTGATTTAATCGCTCACCTTTAAAGGTCATTCTACATTCTGCTTTCCCAAACTGTTGTGTACAAAATATCAATTGTAGATAAAGCGGGTTTACTTTGCTATTATCTGGTAATAAAACCTGTTTTTATCCCACTCATGCTTGTAACAACTTAGAGTTTCTTTAGGTGTTTCTTTTAAAGGAACACAAAGCACAAAAAAAAATAATTTTTTTTTTAAAAGCTGCAGATTTTTTTTCTATCATTGCTTTGTACTAAAGTCCTGTGGGGAAATCCATCTTTACATCTAACAAACTGATATCAACATAGGATGTCCTTGAATGGAATCAGTACATTTGGAAGAAACTTCCTCAGGCAATGATTGACTTTGTTTAAGTGTGGCAGTGCATGGCTCTGTTTTAGAACCGCAGGCTGCATGCATGCCTCCATCTGCCGCAGGAATGCAATACGTGCATGTGAAGTAAGGGAAGAGAAAACAACTTTGGAGCAATGGATTTATGCTGCAGCTTGGAGGAGGATAGGGATCTATGTAAACAAGATCACATGAAAGCTTTCTAGGGCAGAAATTTGCATTAACAAAGAACAGGCAGCCTTGTCTTCATTACAGAAGAGGGTGATAATTAAGAACTGAAAAATTTAATGTATCGTCAGAAAAAAAGTGTAGAGAAATAAATTAATGCCAATTTTGCAAATTTGTATTATTTGCAAGCAAACTGGATACAACCAGACAGCAGATAGCAAATGTTTCAATTAAAGATAATGTGTTTTCAAGCATGGTTTGATTGTAATAAGAAGCTTCAAACAGTTAATGAATGGTAGGTATTACTAAGGAAATTAACATTAACAATGCTTACTTAAGCGTGGAAGGATGATTATTAAACCTTTAAGTAACATAATCCCTTTGAACAACATCAAATAATAAACTAACTAAAGTTATTCGTGGTTTGGCTTGACTATTCACACATTTTTGGTAATAGTAATAGTTTATAATACCAGCTTATTGGCAACTTACTGTTTAACTGAAAACAAGTTAATTATTATTAAACTTTATTGATCTCACATTGGAGAAATTTACCTCGGATTTATCCCATCCCGTTGGGGAGCAGTGTGGGGATAGTGGCAGTCTGTGGGAGTGGGGCTCAAACTCAGAACCTCAGGATTCCAAGCTCTATGCTCTACCGACTAGGCCGCCACTCCCGCCCTCTTCCTAAAGAGACACTACATACATTTTATTAATAAAAAAAATAAAAACTTTAAAATAGCATTTTTTTGATGAGCAGACTGACACCTCAGTAGTTCAGCGCTGTTGCATCTATAAGCCAGTAGCCTATTTTCCGTTTGAGTTTGATGTCACATCCGCCGAACAGCGCATCCATGTTGAATGGGTCTGACCTACAGTACCAAACAATGGACACGTTAGATTCAAGAGTGAATTTGTTGATACTAAGAAGCGACCAGCATCCAGCTGAACTCGGACACCAAAGGCAACTCCATGTAAGGTGTAAGGTGTGTGTAAAGATAAAGAACTCGTAAAGAATGTCTGTGTGGTAAGAGAACGAGCAGAAGAGTGCTGCATTATTAGAAAACTCTGTAATGCCTCTTTAAAGGGAAATTAAGGGAACACTCATTTTAAGTTGTAACCACATGGCCCATGTGAGATTTTCACAAACACAAAAATTTCCAACAGTATTTTTTCCCCAAACTGTGTCTAAGTTTTGTTTAGCTTTGAGCCAGCTGACCCCAATGCATAGCAAAGCTAGAAGGAGGGTTTGAAATGCTTCATAAAGTAAAAAGAACACTCCACTCACTTCAGCACTTTCTCTAACTTTCTTTTAAAATTAGTCTAAAACAATGGAAGAATAGCAGTTCAGAGGGTGTTTCTTTTTAAAACCCTTGGTAGACCATTCAACCGATAACCTTCACATGCTCACCTTTAACTGCTAATGTTTTGGTAACATTACAAAAATCATCTTTTATATATTTAAACTAAAAAAATAAATAAATAACATTTGCTTCTGGTGGACAATCTCAATCTATCTAACCAATTTAGATCCCCATAAAAATATAATTATTAGAATTTAAGATGTTAATTATTAACATATGTAGTATAGTATTTCTGACAGGTCCAGACACAAACACACCTCTATTTCCTTAGTACTCTTACACAGTGCAGTTCAATTGACAAGAATGTTGAAATAATTTTATGAGTAATGTTTTAGATTTATGAGAACGTTTCTTTTGACAAGGACTAATATTAAAGTTTTAAATGAGATTGCAAAAACTGAAAGGTAACTCCAGATTAGGGATATGGCAAGGAGGCCTTCTTGTCTAAGGTAGAGAAATAATAAAATGTTTATGGTGAAAGTGATATCTAAAGTAATATGCACTGTTGCATATTAACTTTCTGTTGATTATTTGAAAAGGCTATATTTTTTTTACCTAAAAACGCCAACTATATGCTTTCCTCTTTGCTGCCAAGTGCAGTCCAACAAAATATTTCTTTGCATGGAAAAAAGCATTTTCAACTCCCTCCCTCAGGGGTGTAAAGGGCAAAAATGATGTGCAATGGGAAGGTTTTATTAATTTTACAAAAATATTTCAACTTATTGATTCTAAACTGCTGTATTCCGATTTACTGTAACTCAAATCATTTGATGCTGCTAGAATTATCCCTCAGTGTGGCTGATTAATTTCCTGAAATCTGGTTAAGTATTCACAACCACCTTCTGAATCAGGTGGTTGATCTGCGTCAGTGTGACAGCTCCACACTGCGCTGACTGACACAGACCAGCTGGATCAGCATCCACTGGTGGACACTAACGCACAGCGCAATCTCACCATCTCCATCCTGAGTTTTCTAATCTTTTCATCCAAACTCTTCCTTCCAGTGTCTTTGCTGGTGTCCTGATGAGGGGCCAGTTTGCCCTCCCCGCGAAGAGAAGACGCATCTTCTCGCATCCACTTCAGCAAACCCTCGGGGGTTTTACGGCCGATTTTTGTCTCTATATCCTTGAGATCTGGGATGGTGTCGCTGGCGGTACCTTCATCCATAGCTCCGGTGTGCGCAAAAAGAAGAGATGCCCAAAAGATTACGTCCTTTTTTGCTGTTTGGGACTTTCACTTCCTTTGGAACTGGATAACATCCTCTGCGACTGCTTGGACTGCGCCAAGAGAGGAGTCACTTTGTAACAACACAGCACCCTGTTATCATTCCTCGCAGATCCAAGTAGTTTTTTTTTTTTGTTTTTTTTAAGATAGCATTTGCTTTTTTAGCATTTTCAAAATATTACTTTCAAGGTCTGAAGAAAAGAAAATCCAATTTGTCCTTTTATCCCATGCCTTGTTGCTGCTTCCTTCCACGGCGGTGTCCAGCTGATTGGGGGCCCAGATGAACTGGTGTGTTGAGGTCCCTGTAGCAGATCTCTATTATGAAGCACACTGCGCAGATTCCACCTGCATAATGACAGCGACCAGCACCAGCCGCATAGTGGAAGAGGAGAACAGATCCGAGCAAAAACAGACTCAATAACATGCATCTACATCCGAGCTCAATTTCAAAATAAAAGAACTTTTCCATCCAGGCATCCAAAACACCCTGCATGATAAAAAAGCGTCACATGAGTTTACTTTCTTTCTTTTTTTTATATCACTCTATAGACGGAGTGTTTGGGTGGTCATAAAAATCACCCATTTGTTAAATTAGAAATAGACTGTTAGGAAAAAAATGAAATGTGTTGGGAAAATTGAGTAAAACAAAACCTGTCAGGAATGTACAGCAAATGCTTTTTCCGTAACATTTTTGTGTGTTGTGATGTTACAACTAGTGTTGCGCCGATGCCATTTTTTGGCCCCGATACCGATACCCGATACCTGGCTGTGCAGTATCGGCCGATACCGATACCATAATAATGTAAAATAATTGCCATCATGGCTTTGTCAAGCTGCTGCCTACCTTTGTGAAGCAGGAAAAAATATAATACAAAGTGAATCCAGTAGAACTTTTTATTGCCTACCAGGAGTGGGGGACAATAGTTGAATAAACTTATGGCTCTCAAAATGGTTGGTACTTGCCGATACCGATACCACCATTTTAGGGCAGTATCAGGGCTCCGTCCGATACTGGTATCGGTATCGGGGCAAACACTAGTTACAACGGCATTGTTTTAAAACAACACAAATTATTGGATAAAATGAAAGAAAAATTACAAATTTTTGTTAATATTTTAACGATATACCATCCGAGTGTCCACTGTTTAATCATAATTTGCTTCCCTAGCTGTCTTGCTTTCAAAAATGTATTTCAGTCACTGTCATTAGGAGCATGTGACCAGCATAGTTCCTTAAAACACTACAATTATTCTCATAGTCCTTTGTAAAACCAGTAATTCTCAGTGGCTGCAATGTTCTAAAGCATCATAATGCTTGGTTCTTAATCATTTGTCTTGCTTCATTGCAATGGCGTAAATATCGGTAATCAGAGACAGCAGTGACCTCTTAAGGCCAATTTATACTTTTGACGCATATCCTCTGAAAATGTTAAATCTGTCCCTGTGTACACCTAAAAAAAAAAATGAACACACATCGGACGTTGCAAACCCGCCCAGACCTCAAGCAGAGGTGCGCAGACAAAAAGCAGCTGTATTTGGCATTGGTATGCCTTTCCGGCTGTCTGTTTCGTCGTCCTTCTCGATTCGGTGCCGGGTTGCACCATTTCTAAAAACCGAGGAATAACAACAATGGATACTCTAGATCCTTCTCTGTAACAGTGATATCTTCCAGACGCGCCATTGTTGTTTTGGAAAATAAACACTCCCGCTGGCGACGCCGAAGAAGTTCTCGTGACCATCCGCCGAAGTTCTTGCGAGTTCTCGAATTGGCACCCCCTTGCGCTTTGGGGGAAACTGCTGTGCGTCCCTAGAAATTCCTGACCGACGCTGCAGAAGCATATCAGCAAAACTGGTTTGCTATGACGCAAACATTTGATGTGTGTGGTTGCAGAAGTATAATCCGCCCTTTAGGGGCCCCAACATTTACACCTGGTAGTTCGCCTTGATTAAAACCATAACTGTTACGTACAATTTGTCAGCGATGATGGATACCAAAAAGAGATACTTATCTTAAGGTCTATCTTCTTGGCCAATTTATGGAACTGTCGCCGTATCCTGAACCTTTATCACATGGAAGACATTCTAACATGTTTTTTTTCCTCTTAATTGTGCTGTATTTAACTTTATCAAGTTACATCCAGCAGCTGCCCATCTGTAGAAAAACATGATTCTAACATGTTTGCAAACATTATTTCATCTACCTTTCAGAACTTATTGTCACTGTTCCATGCAGGTCAGGTATGAACCCACAACTAATGATAATCATCGTCATTTTAGCAGAGTCAGAGCTTTAGCTTGCCACAGCCCCTCCAGAAACAATTAGAGCAGGTGACTGTCTGATTGACCCAAGCTAATTACAAAGCTAACATTAACTAGGCTTCTTGTATTCTATAAAAGGCAAATAATAAAAAAGCAACATTAAGGTAAATAAACATCATCTATGCTTTTTTTTTTTTTTTTTGCAAAGTTTACTTATTTAAAAGTCAGTCTTAAAATCATCTACTGTATACTTTTGTTTAAATCTATGTTTTAAAAATAAAAAAATCTAATCAAATATGCATTATTGGAATCATTATGACAACAGTGCTCACCTATATGTAGATACAAGTAAAAAAAACTGTTTATGTTAGAATAACTGCATTATGGACTAGACCCAGTGTTACTATATAGTTTAGATAAGCTGCATTCACAGTTTCAAATTTAAAGTTTATATCAATGAGATCATTTTGCTGGAAAAGCTGTTACGGCTGAGATAAATGAGGTGTTACAAATGATGATCACACTATTCTAAGCAGTCTGACTCACACTTACACTCTTGACAACTTCTTCTCCGCCCACATTAACACCGCGTAGGCAGAGCCAACCAGCCTGAGCCTCCTGTTGTGGAACTTTGGGTGTAATATGTTTGCTTAAAGTAATGTGGTGGTCAGAGTAAAAGATTGATTTCTTGGAAATGTTTCAAGACAAACAGAGCAAATACTCTGGTCATTAAAGGAAGCCGTATGGACAAAAATATTAAGAAATCTAAGATGAAAGATAGGCGCATTTCTTTGCTGAGGTATTTTTTATTTTCTTGTGGTTTGAGTGGAGAAGCAGAGCCATATTTGGAGATTACTTTTTTTGTCCACTAAAAATTCAATGCAGGGCCCAAGAAAGAATTCATTATGAAGTATATACACCAAAATATGTAATATTTCCTGTTCCCTCATCGGCTAAGATCACGTCACAGCTTTACGACTGTTCAAGTCGTAAAGTTCCATCAGAGACCTTTGAGGTGGAGAGTTTGAAAGACAATGATTCAAACAACAATAAGGCATTGCCACCCACCAGTGAGACACTTCCCCCTGGAGCAGACCTACCAAGGAGGGAATGGTTCATGCTCAACAGAGCCAAGGTAGGTAGGACAGGTGACAACATGCTGGGATGGGGTAAATCAGCAAGTTGGGCACCTTCTGCATAAATACAAACTTGGTCCAGCCTGCTGTGACAATGATCTCCTGGAGGCTAACGAGACAGCCTGTCATGGGATTTGGACTTGGAGCAATAAGATATGCTGATGATGATCTCAAGAGTAAGATCTGTTGTTCCTTGCAGATAATGTTTTGTATCCATAGAATTAGATGTCTGGTACATTTAGAGATGAGAACAGGATGTCCTAAGAAGTTTAAATTTTTTTGGCCAACTGAAAGGAAATGATACCTTTATTTTGTTGCTCATCCAGGAGGGCTAGTCAGCATCTAAAAGTTGCAGTTCTGGCAGTTTTAAGACTGGGAACTGCTAGTTTCATATGGACCAAAAAGAATGTATGAAGTTGTTACAGAACATGAAAAGACATTCATCATATGCAATTACTGATATAATGAAAATTAAAGCTGGATCTAAAAGAGGAAAATATAAAATTTGATTAAGTAAAATTCTAATTTTGCACTTTCATTCAGTGCATAACATAGTACACACATTGTCACGTATATAATAATGAATCTTTATCCACTGATTTTTAACAATGATTCGAAGTTGTATGATTCACACAGAGTGAGATGATTATGGGGACTGAAAGTTTTCTTCAACTCTCAGGTAAACCTGAAGAGACTCACATGGATAAAAAGAAGAAATTAGAAAGTTTCATCAACATGAAGAAATAAGTCTTTGGTGCTCAGACCCTTGCAGATGACATCAGCGCTGAAAGCATTTAATCTGCGTGAGCTGGCAGATCTAGATTTGAGATGGTTCTTCTGTCAGAGTATGACATTACTGGTGAAATCGAGGTTAACGAATTAGTGGAACAATGGGAAGGTCAGTTGAATGTAGGAGAAAAAAGGGCTGTAAAGCAAACCTGTAAAGCACTTTGTTTTTGCTTTGGTTCCTAAAGTGCTTTATACTGGATTCACTGAACAATAGATCTCTAGCAGGAAAATAATTGTTACTAACTGTTTCTTTGTCTAACTTCACTTATACTCTCACTATGTTGTTTATTTTGATCACTATGTGTTCTTTTATGTTGTGTTTATGTACGGAACTTTGGACTGTCAAGTTATTAAATATGCAAAATAATTTGTATTGCTTTTAAGATAAATAAATTATGAAAAGAACAAAATTCTCAACCTCCTTGGAAAATAATAGTAATGTTTTCATTGTTAATACTACGAAGGAGCTTCCTTATCCTGGTTGCATTGTATGAATGAGGAAGAGTGAAGTGATCCTCTGCTTTAGTTGTGCAAAATACAGGGTCTCTATCAAAATTACACAAACTGACCTATGTTACAGCATCCAGTCAGCAATAGACCTAAATAGGTTAGCACAGGGATAAATTAAAAGCTAAATAACCTTTGTGAAAGGATTATGAAATACACAAGACTGTGTAAAATCCATAATTAGTTAGTTGAAACAACACAATTATTATCTACACTCATGCTCAAATCCTATAAAACCAATGTTCTTTTGCTTAACTGCCGGAATTTAAATGTATCTTTCAAACAGGATCAAGTATGAACAAAAGCAAGATTAAATACTGCTTATGTCACCATGCAATTAGCCTGGTATCCACGATGGCCACCATGGCAACAGCTGTAGTGGGAGAAAATCTTTAGCTCTTTGCACACCCACACTAAGGCTGATCTACTTTATCCATGTAATGCAAAATATTCTGAAAACATATTGTTCTGGCCTGGTACTCGAAAGCCAGCAGAATTATTCAAACCTAACTCAGGCATTTGTGTATGGTTTTGCATGTCGGCTTTATATTTGCATGGGCCTGCCCCAGGTCATCTCGACTCATGTCAGTCTTCTTGTGGAATGTCAACAGAAGATTATGAATATATTACATAACTAGAATTGGAAGTTATACTTAATTATTAAGTCATTATAGTCAAGGGCAAAACCCAATTTATGATTATTAGTTGGATTAATATTACTGAAATCTGCTTACTCACCGAGGGTCTTTTGGTTTTTACTCAAGGTTGGACTTCTGGAATATCTGTTAATATCCACTGCCTTTCATTAATTTAATTTAGACTATAGTAATCAGCGGAGTTATTAATCACCAACCAAAATAAATTGTTTCTGTTTCTTCTGGTGTTAACCAACAAGTGTGGATCTGACTCTGAGTGATATATCGTCCACTGTATAAATAATCATAGGCAACCACAGGTTAGAAATATCAGTTACTTCATTGCCTAATATTCACTATTACAGTATTATTGTATCTAATGACTAAACAAATGCTCCACCACTACTAAAAATAAGCATAGGGCTAATCAAAATCTAATAAATGGGGAAAATTGGGCCAAAGAGACCGTTCAAAGAGTCTTCAACAAATATTCAAGTCTTAAGGCTTGGTAGGTTAACGCATTTTTAGGTGTCCTATAAAATAGCAAGTATAAGTGTAAGTAACAAATGATGCAGTGATCTTAAATGCAGTTAAAACAGTGAAGCCCCATTTGGTTTTAAAATAAAATTGAACAGTGACTCCCAAATACATTAAAATGTAGGAGCATGGATGATCACTACTTTTCAAGGTGCATTGTGGGAAATTTAGAGTCCAATATTTTTTCATCTACTAGAGGTTTGGACACTAATCTAAAATGGCATAACCACTATATACTGTAGTGCCCTATAAAGGGATTAGGGTGGAAGGTCAGGCACAGCCAAAACGTCATAAAAACGTTATCCTCAGATGGCCGCCACAAGGTAGCATTCAATTCAAAACTCTTAAAAACCATCAGCAGTTGAAATTAAAAAGCTTCTGTCAGATAAAACACAACACATGCAAAAATGTCTATCCTAACCTTGCCAAAACTTGACTCAATAAGCATCAGATAAAAATAGTGGCTCAATGGATGGGAGAGGACGATGTTCGGTTATGTTCAGATTAGTTTGGCTGGGGAAGCCAGTCCACTTGTTCAACAGGCAGCTCTCAGAGGGACTGGAATTACTCTGATGCAAAACAATGGAGTAAGATCTGCAAGGCTTAAATTGATCATTCACTGTACTATACACATTTCACATCTAAGTAAAACAAATGTTTGAAATTATCAATTATTGGTCTTACTCTAAAATTAGCTGGATAAATAACATTTTCTGACAAATATGCAACATACTGTAGCTATATACCGTTAGTTGGTTTGTCTTCTAAAACATTTTTTTTGTATCCAGATTACACAGCTAGTCTTCACATAAACTCTATGAAAACAATAATTTTCTAGTAAACCAGATATTTCTACATTATGATCTGCATAAGTCATTATTAAGAAATTAGGATGAAGAGAAAACTTTTGCAGGCATCAAGTGAAATATGTGATGAAATGATTTTATTTTCTCATTTTAATCATTCAGATAAATCAAATCTAAGATTTTTATATCATAAAGGTATTTTTTGGTTTATTTTTGACCACTTGTAATAGCTTGAGAAACCTCTAGGAACAATATAGAGCCTATGATTAGGTGTTGTTGCCTCCTGGTGGAGGATTTGCAAAACACCAAGGCCATAAACTGGTGCATTAGAAGCATTAGTTAGAAAAGCAAAGTTACTCAAAACTAAGGCTTTCCAAATGAAAATGTAGGTCATGCTCTATTTGTGGCATTAATAATAAAGACCTTTGTTGTGCTTATTTATTTTTTTATTCCACTGTAATATACCATAGCCTGAATGAGCTAAAATCCTTACTGGATTATACTTAGATTTTTCTTGACACAGAGTGACAGAACCTGACTGGTAACATTCTCTAGTAAGAAAGCTGATAGAGGCATGGATAAAACTATAACAATAACATGCTAAGCTAAGCTATGTAGTTGCTATTATTAGTTGCTATTATTACAGAAAAGTTATTAAAGTACTGACTTAAATCCAAAAAAGAAGAAAAATTAATCGGTTACATTGAGGTAGTAACAATACGGTTCAGAGAAAAATACAAAACAACAACAAAATGTGCACATATTGAAATATATGTGAGGACAGACGCAATCCCTGGGAGCAGGGATGCTCCATGATGAAGGGATTTATTTAGACAAACATACGCAACCATATAGACCATTACACTCAGAAGGAAAAAAAATCAGCCATTATACTCAGCAAGGGAGTCTTCCAGAATGCACAGATAACAACAGTTATAATTATCTTTTCTGAATGGACTGGAATGTCACAGATCCAAATCTAAGTAAAAGAAAAATATACCTAAAAATGTTGTTCTTCATAAAAAAAATTATAATGATAAAAAAAAAACACACTATTTAATATACTCAAACAAATGAGGGAGGTAAAACTGAAATAGAGAGAAATTAAAATGCCAACTCATTGAATTGTGAAACGTAACCAGCAGTTTATTTCCCTCCCTAGTCACTCCTAGGTAAAACCTGTTCAACCTGCTAGTATCTGGAGACTTGCGCAAGTTAAAACTAAGGAAGTCAAACTGTTGAGGATCACCAGTCACCTACTGCCAAAATCTTTTTACCAGCACGATCAAATAAGGAGGACATGGAAGAAGACAACACAGAGGACATTGAGTCTCTGATTGAGGACATGCAGTACATCCCTGGACACTTCCACCTGGAGCTAAACCTTAATTGTGATCCTGTTGGTCCTGTGAATCTGCGATTTAGAGACACTCTCCTGAAACAGGAGAGTCTACAAGCTGAGCTGGAAGTCGAAGTAGGATATCTACAGTATGCTGTCCGAAATCTGCTGGGTCTGCTGGCATTTCACCTGGAAGAGCTCGATAAAGCTGAGGAAATATTCAGGTATGAGATACTAACTTCTGGAAGACAATGTCTGCTGAGAAAACATACACAGAGAGAAAATTACTTAAATGTCTCTGTATTTCATAATCTCTCAAACAGAAATACAATAGTGATTAAAATGTGTGCAGCACCATTGCTTTGATTTTAAATCTTCACATGGAAATGGCAGCATAGTAAGCCTATCATACAGACTTCTCTCATTAAGCTGAAGACAAGCTGAGACGGGCATAATAGGCACCAGACAGAAACGGACAGATATTGCTCATATAAAACACCAATGCTAGGATAAATGTTTTAGAATGTGTATGTCATTATTAGTTTGTCCCATAAGGATTTAGTTTGCCTATGTTTTCCAAAAAGGGCTAGAGGATACACAAATGAGAGCAGCCTATTTCCCATCAAAATCATGTTGATGGATCAATTGCACTTAAATCTATAGATATAATTCACTTTAGATTTTAAATAATAAGGATTAAGTTACATTTTTTCTAGTTTACTATTTAAGATACAGTATCTTTGGTCTTTGCTGCCTTAACTCTGCAGCAAATGTGTTCCAAATTTGAGGGTCAAGATACTAAAGTGATCCTTCTTCTTGGTCTTTCCCAAGAGCACGAGAGAACTGGATAACCTCAACAGCAAACAAAGATTTAATAAAAAATGGAAAACAGCCACTTTCAAAGTCTTAAAAAATATACTCCAAATCAATAGTCTCCAAACGAAGCCCTAAAAACCAAATGCATCCAAAACAGAGACTTTGACTTTCAAGTAATATATCCATACTTTGGAGCAGGAAGATTTCTAGAAGTCTTTTGAATAAATATTGCATTTTATTATAATTTCATCAAAATAAAAATGAAAACCCATGATCCATAAATAATCTAAAAAGGAATATTTCTTTTCATCTCTTTGCTTTCTGGCCTTTTAGGAGCATTTGTAAGGAGGACCCCGGAAACCTCAATGCCTGGGCTAACCTGGGCTTTATGTATGACACAAAGGGTAAAGAGCCGGATGCAGAGGAATGTGTAGAGAAAGTCTCTTACCTCATGGGGATGAATTCTGATGAGGACTACCAGGAGGAGACCAGGCTAATGGCAGCACGTTGTCTGGCTGAGCAGGCATATGTGTATCCATACGACGTGGAGCTGGACAGCGATGACAACTTGAGGGAGAGGCTGATGTCGGCACTGTCCTTTTATAACAAAGCACTACATTATGGAGGACACCTGGTAAGTGATTAAAAAATAGATACGTACATTTTTTAAAACTTATGTTTAACACCCATCAATAATGCTTTTACTTTACACTGAATGTTATGTAATTAAATCCAATACATTCAGCAAAACAACAACAATCATGCACTAGTCAGGTCATGTAGAGTACACTAATAATAATTAATAATAATTAATTTTGGACAAATGGGATAATTTATGATATTCAAAGCTGCAAAAATGGATATGATCAAACTGATTTTTTTTTATTATTATTCTAGATACCACAAGAGGAAAGAATAAGCTGGTATTTTAAAATGGCAACTATTTATGTAAGGTATGTACAGTAGACTACTCGTCTATATTTAATTCCCCCAACCAAGTATAAAATCATTAAGCTTATTTTGCTCCTGAAGGCTGGACCAGATCATAAAAACAAAAGAGGATTCTGAGTACTCAAGACTCTTTCACTACAATAAGGGACTTAAGCTCCTAAAGGAAACTCTGGAATCTGAGAGAAAACAGCACAAAGGTAGGCAAGTTGTCAAGAAACTGTCTACAAAGTGGAGTAAATGTGATTCAGTCATTTTTAATATTTTGGTAGGAAATCAAAAACTTTAAAAATCCCATCAGAATTTTTTGATGGAAGATGGAAACAGATATTATCTTCCAAGTTGAAGTGTGATGTCTCCTTTCAGCTCTAGCTTGGTGTTACATTGGAATCATGTTGGAGAGGAAGGATGAATTTTCCTCTGTACCCATGTCAATACATGACTGCGGATTCTCAGCCTCTGATCCTCTGCTCTGCTATGGAACTGTAAGTAAACTCCCAGCACTGCAATCGCCATGTAGCCAAAATCCAATAAGATTAAAATTAAGATATGTTTCTATTTTGAAAATTAAAAATTAATCACACATTCCTTACATATTATTTGTGTGTTTTTTTTCTCAAACCTAAACTCCACATCCTGCCATTTGACTAAGGTGCAAGAACCCTACAGAGATTTTATGAAAATGTTATATTAAATATATATTAAATTACTCACAAGTAAAAAAAAATAGTTTCAGTTCTAACAATCTTACAAGGACAAAATACACTTTAAATAAATTGACATTAGCTTTAGTATGCTAAAAGAAGAAGGCCTCATTGAATCTTCTTCTTTCAACTTTTTTATGTGACGTAATTCTCTTTCTAAAGATAATGGCTAACAAATTAAATTGAATTATTTTGGATGGTGAAAGTATCTGAAACAAACTCCTTTTTTTGCTTGTTTTCATGCCGACTGACTTTTAAAGGACACATTAAATAAATAAAAAATATCACAGAAACCAGTCAGTTATTAAGGCAGTTCAACTGACATTGGTTGAAACTATTGTATGAATACTGGCCTTTTTAAAGCACAGTGGATATTTAGCAGCTGTTGCTGCCACATGTGTGAGAGTTTTAACAGAACTGTCTCTCTCTTCAGGCTATGGATTTGGCCAGCGATGATGCATTCATCCTCAACCTTCTTGCCAAAATAATCTTTTTGCTGGGCAAACATGACATGGCCACAGGGATCTGCAACATGTCTTTGAATGTTCTGCCAGATCCAGAGCTTAACTGGCAGGTCTACTGTACACGTGCTAAGGTACTGAATCTCAGAAACACATTTCCTGTCATGATAATATTTATTTAGATTTTATAATAAAGGTTTAGGCATATAATTTAGTCATCACTAATAAAGATGTTGCATAAATCTAATTTATCCATGAAGTTTGTTTAAAATACTCCTCACAGTTATTGGTAACCTTGGTAAACATGTCAAAAATATCATACTACCATAATCTTCTATTCAGATTCTATAATATCACACTGAACATTTTAGAAAAACCTTTAACTATTTCTAACACAATAGTTGTTTGGAATAGCTATTGTCAGAGCTAATTGTTCCTTAAAGCCTTAAGCATTTATGACATCAGATTTTTAAGTAATTCCAGACTAACAACTAGATATTCATGACTTTGTGTAATTCTTGGGTATATTTATATGATGTGAAAGAGAGGTGACATCCTCTCAGCAATTCTCCAAAATATAAAAAAACAAGAATGTATGGTATTCATCTAGTGTGTGTGTCATGTGTTTTGTTTTGCATAAAGCTTGATTTATGCTTGACACTTCCATGAGATCCACACGATCAAATTACATTATTTTTAGCTCCTCCCACTCCCTGCGCACTGACAGAAATTATGCATGCGCACCAAAGGAAATTAGTCCTGCACGGCCCACCAAAGGAAATTCCCAAACATGTGGACAGATCCGTGTGGAAAAACATGCCGAGCGTGCAATAGCACCTTTGTAAGACATCTTGTGGTAACTCATTCATACCACCACTACCAACAAATTGTGAAAATAAACTCTTGCAAAGAAATGACTGGCGCTGTTGGGCAGCACGAAGAGGCTTTGAAAAAGTTTAGCTTTTTTTTCTACTTTCTTGTGTAGTGTGGTGTGGTGTTGTTGCTGTTTATGTTGCACATGCCCCCCTGGTGTTGGCCACAATGGGGGAAAAGCCACACAGAGTATGAAAGCTGCAGATTTTGTGCCCATTTTCTATTCCGATTGCATTTGTCAAGCATAACCTAACTTTAAGTCATCAATAACGCCACAACAAAATGTCTACTTGGCTAAACATAAGGCCATCTACAGTCAGAGGAATACACAAAAAGGTTTAAATCAGAGACATCCAGACATTTGCACAGTTTTACTGGAGACGTTCTAACTCCCATCCAGAAGTCTTTCTCGTTTCTTTCTGCTCGTATAAGGATAATCAGAAGTTGGAGCATTAATGTCTTAAAGAGCATCTTCCCTACCACATTCCAAGTCCAAGACCCACCCGCCCTTCTAATCAGTGGAATAATTCAGAAATTTAACATAAAGACAAGCCTAAATATGTGCCTGTTTATGTTGCAATGATTCACAGTGCGGATAATGGTAAGAGAAAAATCTCTAAATATATTTTTAAGTGTGATATAGAACTGAGAGAACAACTGTATCTTCGCCAGCAATGTCCATTAGGAGGCGGTTGCTAATCAATCTATGGCAGACTTTCTACTGCAAACCTTGCATTAAATAATTTTCAATACATTGAGACTTGTTGCAATGTATGTTCTTTTCAGATCAATGTGATTCTATATGTCAATGAACTTGAAAAAGCAAAACATGGAATTGGAGGTTGCCCTGATCGACAGAAACTAGTTGATGCTAGAAAAGACTTGGACAAGGTGCTGACTGTACGTCCATGTCTGAGGACTCATCTAGAGATGGCGCAGGTAAAGCTAACTCAACATGTCACGATAAAATTGCTTTACAACTGTGATAATCAGGACATGAACAGCCAAAGACTGATTTTTTTGCTCTTTTTTAGGTATACTATTACATGGGTGTAGATGCACTCCAGGAGAGCATTATGGTGGAGGAAAGTTCCATAAATCATGCTTTGGTGAGTCTGTCCAATGCTTTGCAGTTTAAGCCAGGAGACAGCTTACCTGATCTCCATGTGCTGAGAGGACGCTGCCTTTTAATAAAAGGCGAAGAGCAGAATGCTGCCGAGTGCTTCAAGCAAGCTATGGAGTTAGAGAGACCAGGGAGCACTGACACCACAACTCTTCACTTCCTTCTCCTGACCCTCCTGAATCTATTTATGCAGGAAGCTTCTGACCCTAGTTCTATCATAACAGAGCTAGAGACATGGGTGAACAGAGCAGAGGAGCGGTACCCTCAGGATACAGTAAAATCAGAGCTTCGGTCCCTTTACAGAACACACACAGAAGAGGTTACAGAGCTGTCCAAGACTCTGATCAGGACTGGACGCCTGGGCCTGGTGAAAAGGCTGCTGGACACAGTAGTACCTAAACAGCTTTCTGACAGAAGACCTCTGGCTCGTAGATTTTCATTAACCTAAAAACAAAAGTGTTATTTTAGCAAGGCCAATAGCTATTAAGAAAACATACATGCAGAACAATAATCAAGAAATGTCTTGACAGTATTTCAGAAAGTTGGAAATCTTTAGTGAGCTTTGTCTAATAATGAGTATTTTGATTTTCATGCTTTTTAACATGTATACAGTCCCCTGAAAATTATTTATACCCATTGAGCCTTTTTAAATGTTGTTGCTATATCCAGAAACTTCACAGTGACAGTTTTTGTGACAGACTGATACAATGTAATTGCATAATTGGGAAGTTGAAGAAAGAAAAATTATTGTTTTCATTTTTTTCCCCAAATAAAAATCTGAAAATGGTGCAGTGAATTGGTGTTGAATTCCCATCTGTCTTTTTTTTTCTAACCACATTTAACTACAATCTAATATTTTGAGGTGTGTCTATGCTAGCCTTATGAATCCTGAAACTGAAAATAATACCTATCATTGCAAAATGCCCTAAGCTCAGTTAAGTGAGCATCAGTATTCTTATCTTGCCACTAAATTCTCAATAGATTTGTGTTTGGACTTTGACCTAGCCACAAAAATATTCTAACATTCAATCTTATTCATTCTGTTATAGCACAAAGTGTATTCTTATGGACATTTCCAATCTAGAAGGTGAACCTCCACATCTTTTGGACTCTCTAAAAGGTTTTTTTTTTTTCTTGTAACTTTTTATATTTAGTTTCATGTACTTTACAAAAAAAAAAAGTACCAGCTGTCTATGGGCGAGAGGCAGGGTACACCCTGGACAGGTCACCAGTCCATCGCAGGGCAACACAGAGACAAACAGGAAAAACAACCGTTCACGCACACACTCACACCTAAGGAAAATTTAGAGAAGCCAACTAACTTAACAGTCATGTTTTTGGACAGCGGGAGGAAGCCGGAGTACCCGGAGATAACCCAGGCATGCTCAGGGAGAACATGTAAAGTCCATGCAGAAAGACCCCAGAACCTTCTTGCTGCAAGGTGGCAGTGCTGTCCACTGCAGCCTGCTTGATCTTATTTCACTAAAATAGCAGAAAAACAGTGTACCTTAAATGCTTTTTCTCTTCTAAGACATTTCACACACCAAAAAGCATACAAAAGATTGTATTATATACACCAATAATTAACATTTTCAAAGGAACTTATATGGGAAAAAAACAAGAAAAAAAAATGAAAAAAAAAATCATTATATTACTAACTGTAGTTCTGCATTCCACCAGCAGGTGGTGACATGGTCACATGAGGGTTCATGAACTATGGGGATTGTTGAAACAATTTGGCCAAACAGTTTAAATGCCTCATGAAGCTTCATCTCACCATCACTACTTGATATACATAGAAATTACATGTTGCTGTGTCAACATGTAGATTGGCAAATTCCAGTCTTGTTTCTTTATGATTTGTTTTAAAAAATGTTGTCCTCCTGGATCGTTTCTTATTAAGTCCACTTTGATTAAAACGACAGAAGGTGTGATCTGATATTCCTTGAAGGTCACCTTTAACCTATGTAGAAGTTATTTGTATGTAGAAGTTATTCGTACTGTCTGTCATCAGTGTACCTCCTGCGGCCATGTCAACAGAGGTTAGTTACAGTACCGTCGTTGAACTGTAGTAACAGGAACATTTAACTGTATAGTGTGGTACACACCTGTATCATCAAACAGCACAGTGACAACCTTTAGCACTATGTATAGCCCTTAAGACTGATTACAAGATTGTAGACACACGTGATGTTAATTAGTGGATACATCTTGTTTTGACATGTCCATTTTGTCTCAATATTTTCTCTTTTTTTTAGGGGTAAAATCATACTTGTCCAGGCATGTTTTATGAGTTTATTTTTAAAATCGTTCTCTTCATTAATGGTTGAAAAGCACTGTCTGCCCTTTATTTTTTATTTTTATAACATTTTTATTTATCATGACTTTTCAGGTTCAAGTTATTTTTGTGAGCATTGTGGTGTTTTCTTTCATTAAACGAGAGGCACCAACAATTTTGTCCATGGGTGTAAATAACCTAATTTACATTTAATACAACATCAGAATTTCAGAAAAATTTAATCTGGCTCTTAGTTGATGATGACAATATGGCCCATGTTTTGTGTCTGTATCAGTTATTACAGGGCTACAACAGCTTTGGGAGGACTCATCTAGGATGTAAAAGAAATTTGTACCCAATCAATAGGGTTCTGATCTACATTTCAAGGATATTTGATCTTTGAAGATTTTAATGTTCTGAAAGGGTTTTTTAAATCACTATTTTCAAAAATCTTAGGGGAAGGAACTGATATTGCATTTGGAAAGCAGATACAATAATCGCCAGTGTAAAAACACAGCTTGCACAAAGGAAAGCAACTATCTAGATCAGGCATCCCCAAACTCGGTCCTTGAGGGCCGCTGTCCTGCAGGTTTTAGAGGTTTCCCTGCTTTAGCACAGCTGATTATGATGATTGCAGTAGAGCAAAAGCCTGTTAATCAACTATCAATTAAAATCAGCTGTGTTGGAGCAGAGAAACATCTAAAACCTGCAGGACAGCGGCTCTCGAGGACCGAGTTTGGGGATGCCTGATCTAGATACTTCATATTGACCCAAAAGTCAAAACAAAGTAGATCTATAGAAATCACTCCAATCTGGATCTGCCATCCAATTAAGAGCTTTGAAAAATTTAGTATATGTATAGTGTTGCCTTAGTGAGATGAGCCAGAACTTCTCCATGTTGGTAGCTTACTAAGTGCCTCTAGGAGTCTTCTATGACTCAGTTGCCACACCCTTTAGATAGTTTCTAAAGAACAAAGTCATTTTGGGTTACAAGAACACCATTAATCAGGCCAAATAAAAGGAGCAATAATCTATTTATTATTCTGCATATGTAATTCTATATTCTCTGGACGTATAATCTCTTGCTGGTCAATTAACATGAATACATTATTCGAAGAGGAGGCAGATAGGCGATACCAATCATGGATATTATTTTAAGCCTTAAGTACAAAATGTAATTTGATTAAAACCATCAAACTTTCAAAAACAAAAGGTCAAAGCTAAAAATCATTATATATAATTCTGAAAGTAGAGAGTGCACATTCACCATATCATAAACATCAAGACATGACAATCTGCATTCCAGTGGGTTTGGCAATCACTGCAGTCATCTGATGTTCAGCCAGGGTTTGTCTTAGTACTTTAACTGGATATGTTGGTCATGCACTCAAACTGTTTAGGTACTTAAAACCTTAAAGTGTGCAAATGTTAATAAACAGTTAATGCACATAGCCATCAGGTTTAATATAACGTTTAATCAGATAAATCTCCAATATCCTAGAATTCCTGTGTGTTTTATAATCCTACTGCCATAACAAGTCATTGCAATTTAAAAAAACAGGCAGCAGAGAGCAGTGTTGTATAGAATTTGACAAAAGTAACTAGACTAATCTCGCTTTAAACCATATTTTGGGTGAGTTATGATTATCAGAATTATTTCAATGTCAGGAATATAAGGGAAATATTTTTTATTGATTTCTTCTAGTCAGAAGTTAACATTTACTTTTTTTTCACAATTGGCCATCATATTGTTCAGAGGGGTGAGAGGATTCTTATGTCCTAGATATGAACGTGTTTTGTGCAAAATAGGAATTAATCTTAAAAATTATTTTAAAAGCCTAAAGCTGGTAAAAGAGTGTACTGTAACCATACAAATGAAATTAATATTGTGTGGCAATGAATTAAAAGGCAGCTCAGAAATAAGCCATTTCTCAAAATGGGAAAAATATGGATTACCACTTCAAAATGCATTGAAGGATAAATCACTTTATTATTTCTTGGAATTAATATTTTTTTGGCAGTAAGGATCATCAGTATATTATGAAATTGGAAGAGACAGATATTACTCTAAGAGTCACATCACCTTGACTCCCCTCCATGTCCTTCCTTCCTTCCTTCCTTCCTTCCTTCCTTCCTTCCTTCCTTCCTTCCTTCCTTCCTTCCTT